CACACTTTAATGCCATGGAAGAGTGAAGTCTCCATGAGATTGAGTACAAATAAATAGGGAAATCTTGTTTGATGGGTGTAGAATTGATGATTTTAGAGTGATAGACTAAAATCAACAATTTGGTTGAGATGTTTAGAAACCAAATAGTGAGATTGTTAGCCCTCACATGAGGAAGAAGTGGGAGCTCTGGAGTGAGAGCCAGTATCCTCTCAGTCTAACCACAGATTTGGATTCAAAATATATGAATTAGCCAATGTCCTTTATCACTTGACCAGAGGATTAAAGGATTTTTATTACTCATATTTGGCACATTACAATAATTAATGTACTTGAATGTACCTTTAGGAAAATATTTGTTAATGTGTGTAAATTGATTGTTTCTAGGGTGACATGTTAGATTCATATCAATTTGACTTAATACTTCTTAACTTATCACCCAGATTCGATCGCTTTTGTGGCTTAGTCAGTGGGACGCTAGGGTTATAGGCTAGTTAGTTCTAACAGTGAAATCTGGATGTTAAAGAATCAATTTTAAGTTAACTAATGCTCTTTATGCACTCGGAAGAGGGTAAAAAATTTTATGTCATTGGCTTTATTGAATTTTATGTCATTGGCTTTATTGAATTTTAAATTACTCTTATTGTCGTTGGCTTTTATTGAATTTTATGTATCTCATTCCTAAACATTATCCAATTCACTACATAAGAATAATAATTTTTAACATCTCAAAATTCCTTAAACCAATTCATTCAGAAAAGGGTTATCTTTAGAATTAATATTTTCATTTAAGAATAGTTGTTGGTTATTTTAAGCATAAGTTTTATATTTAGAAGTACTTGTTAGAAAAACCACTTTAATCAACATTCCAACTAAGGTCTAATAGTAGTAGACTATAATTAACTTAAGGGATTTTCTACCCCGCTTCTCTGTGGGATCGATATTAGGGTTTTTAAAAAAAACTCTATATTACTTGAAGCGATACGTGCACTTGCATATAACCTATAGTGTGTAAACCATTTTTTAAATTTCATAGCATTTTGATTTTGCACACTAGTTACTAAATATACATTGGGTCAAGTTTTTGACCATATTTTGGAAGTTAAATTACTGTGTAATTGTGGGTCGGGTCAAGTTTTTGGCGCTGTTGCCAGAGATTTAAATTGACATAAAACCCGTAGAAAAACAAACACAATAGAAGTGCATTAACTAACATACCATTACTCTCAAAATGGGAATCTTTATGTCGTTAAAAGTGTCTTAAGAATGGTCGTTTTCATGATTATTGGTGTGACATAGGAATAATTGTGGATTGTGGCATTGCGAACTCTCTATGAATGGTGAATGACATAACAAAAGTAGTGAGCCACACAATTTACCTCTGCGATGTGTCTCAAAGTTTTATGAGAGAGTCATCCAACTATTGGAATTAAGGCATTTTTATTATAGTCTTTGTTTACCTCACGTACCTTGCAAACAATAGTTGGTGATGAGATGATTACAATCTTTGTTTGCTCGGTAACCCTAAGAACATGTGGTATCATCGATAAGGTCCCAGCAAGCAACCCAGTCACTTGTTGGATTACAACCTAGCTTAATCTCCACCAAAACATAGCTTCACGATGATGTAACTTGAGTGTCTAGAACCTCCCGATGTTTGCCGTGCATGGGAAACTTGGTTTCATAGTCAAGCACCGTGATAGTTTTCTAAGATTGTTGCTTGACAAGCTCAATGCAATCATCAATAAGGTTTTTAAATATTGAGGCTTGGGCTATGTCTGCAACATTGCACTGTACGTCTTCCTATAACCACATAAAGACATAATTTTTGTATGAGAGTATCATTACACTACCACAAAACCCAGTGCATGAGAATATTAGCACATAACCACATAAACACATAAGTGTGTGAGAATATTTTCACATACTCATATAAGCACATAAGTGCATGATAATATTGCAAAATAACCACATAAACACATAAGTGCATAAGAATTTCCCTCCTCATTTGTATAAATATATTTTTTTGTTTAAGATTCTATGGTAAGGGGTAGGGTTAGGTTTGAGTCTTTGTTCAAGTAGCCTTAGGCAAGGTTTAATTGTGTATGGCTTGTTCAGAGTTAGGCGGATGGGTTTGGGTGTGTGGTGAGTGGCCTTGGTTAGGTTTAGTTTGGATTAGTTTGGGTTCAAATATGGCGAGGTTGAGTTAGGTTGGTTTTAATTACAGTTAGGTTGGCTAGGTTAAAGCAGGTTAAGGCTAGCTTAGGTTAAGTTAACTAGGTTAAGGTTCAGTTAGGGCTAGATTTAAGGGTCAGTTAGGATTGGGGTTAGGGTTCAATTAAGGTTTTGGTTAGGGCTCGATTAGGGTTAGGGTTAGGGTTTGGTTGGGACAAAGGTTAGGGTTGGTGTGTGTGTTTGTGTTATTTTGGGTAAGGAAAAAAGTAAAAGATGGTGAGTGGGTTTGGGTTGTTCTCGATTTAGGCTAGAGTTGAAGGGTTTTTGTGTGTGTGTGTACTTAGGGTTTTCAGGTAGGGTTTAGGTTTAATGGATTTAGTGTTTTTTAAGTTGTATTTCACATCGGGTGGATACGATAGGTTAGGGTTGTGTGTGCGAGTGTGATGAATTTTAGATTAGGGTGAAGTGAGGGTTAATTTGATGTTCATGTGTGGTTTTCAGGTTGGGAAGGATGAGGGAATGCATATAATTGGGGTGATGCTTTGGGTAAGAGAGGACATGGAGAAGGGTGAGTGGAATTTGGATGATGGTATAAGAGAAAGTGGAGAAGGCTAAATGGAATTACAGTGATGTTTTAAGCAAGAGTAGAAGTGGGGAAGGGGGCTATTCGTGTAGAGTTTTCAGGTTGGGGAGGAGGAGGAAATGTTAGAGTGGGCTTGAGTTGGTTTTCAACCATAGATATGAAAGGAAATTGGATGGCCTTCGAATATGGGGGAAAAAGAGAAGGGAAGATGAGAGAATTCTTGGGAGAGATGGGAAATAAAAAAAAAGTATCACATAAATTCACAAGATAATTTACCCAAAAAAGACTTTGAAATAATGACGAAGAATGTGGTTTATACCTTCTTTAGAAAGATCTTGGCGAGTTTTAGTACATATGAGTGAAATTATTTCAATTGAGCGATATTTCATGATATTTTTATCTTCGTAGATTGCAACAAAAAATTAACATCTCCTGTGAGCTGTATTTAATTTATTTTATCTGTATTTGTGTTGAATCTTGGTATAATATTTTAATGACAAACTCTCTCTATCATAAAATGAATGTGTGAAATCACTTTATTTATATAAATTTATGCACACTTCTTTTATTAAATATTAGACATTTAGTTAAAATTAAATAAAATTTAAATTAATAAATGGTTATAATCTTTGTATGCACAATGTAATGTGCAATTTATAAAAGAATTACACCTGTATGTATCCACATATTTTTAAATGTATGCATATAAAAAAATGTACATACAAACTTAGATTACAGGAGAATATAATTTTGCATCTACATCTTTTTTTTCAATTAACTCCTTTATTATTTGAAAGTTAGTTGGTCTTTCAAATAGTCTCTTAAAGTTTTCAACTATACTTATGGTGTTCTGTATCCATAAATTTAGTTTTAGACCATATCTTTTAATTTAGATGAATTTGTCTCATCAAAATTTTATTTTTTTCTTATAAGCTTGCCCATGGAAAAGTTTAGGTTAAGAAAGATATTATAAAAAAATTATTCAAATATATTTTTAAGATTTAAGAAATTATATCAAGACCATTATCTTATTAGATTATTTTTATAGACACATTTTCATAGAATTTTGTGTTGATTGAGATCAATTTTATTTTGGAGAATTAACATACATCACAAAATTCTTATATATTTATATATCTCAAAATAAAACTTCCACATATCACTACCTATGTCTGAAAAGGTGAATTTTAGTTGTGAGCAACAATAGTTAGTGGTTGATTTGATGTGAAAGGAAAGAAATGAGTCGTAGGTAGATAAACATGAATATTTGGGTGTAAGATATGTAAATGCACATGAATTGCATGCCATGTAACTAAATGTCTTTTCTATTTTTATTTTTATTTTGAAAATATATTTGTTTAATATATTTTTTTGTATGTTTTTATTTTTTTATTTTGAGGAACAAAATTATTTGTTTTTAAAAATACTAAACATGTAAAAGTATTTTTAGTGTTTTTAAAAACAACTTAACATATTATATCATATCACATTTTTTTGTTTTATGTAAAAATATAAATAAAAAAAAATTAAAAGTTGTCCCAAATGACCGCTTAGTTTAAAAGGAGAGTTAAGATGTCTAATATCGAATCTTAGTCTTTTTTTTAATAGGTTTTATCATTGTTTTGTTTTAGAAAAAAATACATATCTAACATCTATACTTCAATTATATATATATATATATATATATATATATATATATATTAAGAATTAAAAGAAATGATTGGGTGATACAAGTTTAAAAAAAAATTTAGGTGTTATGCATGTGTTTTTTTATGAGAACACTGGTTACACCACACCAGTGCCTGGAGAAATATTTGCATATGCCCGAATAAGCTAAAATGTACGCAACTCTGCGTACGCTTTCCGTACGTAAATATTTCGCAAATATTTCTCCAATGCTTGTGAATGCGCTAATAGTTTTCAAAGCCTTGAAGAGCAGGCGAAAAGGAAAAAATATTACATCAGGACTTCGCACGTTGAGTTACATGCGAAGTCCAATAAAATTATGCCGTAGATGTGATCGGCCCGATAGCACAAGAAATATTCCCCTCGTGTTATTCAGGTGTTATTGTGTATTATTCATGTGTTATTATGTGTTATTCAAATATTATTGATGTGTTATTGTGTTATAATAACACCGATAATATTTTCAGAATATAATAACAACTGAATAACACATAATAACACCAGAATAATATATTCTCTTATGTTTTTGTGTCAGGGGACCGAATCTCTAAATCCGGCTTAATTTCATTGACTCCGCACAACTCTACCTGTACTTACGAGTACTGTTGTAATAATTTTTCGACGAGAAGGAGATCCCATTCGGTTCCCATGGAGGTTTCTGCCCTCCCCGTCGCTTCCTCTCACAAAGAGAAACTTATCTCCGCTGGTTACACCACTCTTTTGTCTATCATTGGCGTCTCCGCCTCCCGCCTTGCCCAAGGTACAGTCGCTCTCCTTTACTGGCCACTGTACATTGCATTTCAATGATTTCTTTATTCTGCATGTTGTTATTCTATACTCTTGCTTGATGCAATATAATACGCTGGCCTGATGGCTGATGGCCACTGTAAAATGAAACTTTATTCAAACTGCCAGAGATGGCTATCTTCTCAGGAAATCGATTGCTTAATTTTTAGCTGTGTAATTTTTGGAATTATGCTGTATAATTCTTCTAAAGCTGGACAAAGATTGCCCGGTTTATTGGGCTTCCTGGCTGGTTGAGACCTAGAATTTTAGTTACTTGCAATGAAGGTGCGGTTTGATTAGCATTTGTTCTCTGAAAAGATAGTTTGAAGTTTTATGCTGGATGGTTTGGGACCTTGGTATGGTTTCTGAATATGATTAGCTTTCTCGTCTCAATTGATATTTTTATATTACATTTCGAGCAAATAGGCCTGGACTATTTTGTCTTAGGGTCCGTTTGTAGAGTGTCATTGGGTCTGTTTGGAGCAGAGCTCGAAACTGGGTATATCTTGGGTTGTGCAATAGTTGGCTTAAACGAAAAAGAGAACCCAACCTAATATATTTGGTTTAGTTCATGAAATCGTTGTTCAATTTTTGGTTTCAGATTAAAATTTATATGGATTACAATTATGGGTTCGGTTTGAAAAAAAAAAAATCAGTTAAATGTCTAAAAAACTTGTAAGGCTTGAACTTGATTTATTGATTTCCCTTTTTTTATCTTTATTTTTATTTGTTGCTGTTATAGCATTCCTTGTGATATTATCATTATGATCATGATCTAGAATAGGTAATTTTTCCTTATCATTGTTATTCAGAATAAAAGTTTGGTTAACTAAACCAAACGAAATAAACTACACTATATTGCAATTCAGTTTGATTTGGTCTACTTATTTGTTAGACAACCCTTTTTTTCTGTAATTTAGTTTGGTTTTATTGGTTTAACAAAATTTTCAACCAAACCAGTTGAACAAACGAAATGCACAATCCTACCTATAACATTGTTGTAGAAAAAGAAATATTCTAAATGTTATTGCGGGTAATGTAGATTTTTTTTTCCTTGTGGGAATGTTATGTAAGAACTTCCTCACAAATACCACTCTCCCAGAAATTTGATTATAAGAGGAGGTGGTTGGGGGGCAAGTTTGAATTATTTTTGGAGAGTATTTATGAGGGGTAAGTGGCAATTATCAAAGACATTGATAATGGACATTTATTATTGTACTTCAAATGATTTTAAAATTTTGGTTGGATTGGTCGGCCTGATGGTTCAACTGTAAATTGGTCTTTTGGTTGGTTTGCACCATATTCAAAACCATATTCTCACTTAACTGGCTAGAATTGGTTAGATTCAACAGTTGTACTAGTGAGCCAAAGGCTCACTCTAATTTTTTATGAATTGCCTGATTCTAATATTGATCAATTTATGACTTTTTTATTTTGACTAGATGGCTAAAAATTGCCCAAGTGATAGAGGTATGTATGAAGGCACTAGAAAATTTTGTATTGTAGTGAATAGAGAATACAACTCAATAGCTAATTTATTAAATCCCTTTGATGTTTAGTACTTTATTATCTTCCCCAGAATTTTTAAAACATAGTGTAGAAGAAAAATTATGATGCACCATTCTTATCTAAAATTTTCATTGCGCGTCTATAGAAAAGCTAATTAATCTCATCTTTTTCCCCCAAGATTTGAACATAGGCACATCTTTTACTTTGGTTTTGAACAATAGCAATATGCATGAAAGGCTTAGTTAGGGAGTTGATTTGGCAACATCACGAAATAGCACATGTAGTTTCTTTCTTTATTCTAATATTTTGATGAGATTAATGCTGCATACTTCAAGAATTAAGCATCTAATTTCATTAATGTTTTTCAATTTTGTGTAATTTCATTATTTGCATGAGCTGTGGGTCTATGATTTTGTCATAATTTTTTTATTTATGTGGGAGATTAATATTCTTTATATACTAGCATTTTTTTTTCAATATTTAACATCTTTAGTCATGTACAGAACTAATCATTCCACATTGTGAAGCTATGGATATCATTAAAATTACTCTAAATTGCTCTAGAGCTATGGGCTTGGAAGGCACGCATGCACTTTTGAAAGGTATATCTCTGTTTAACTAATTTTTTGCTTCTGCCGTGCTTCAAGTTCTGTTGGGATACATTAACATAGTACAATGCATCATTGCAGCTTTTATAAAGCTGGCTTCTATTTAGTTGTTCTTTGCTTTAGATATTTACTAATAGCTATATAGTTAAATTGTATGTGCTATGTATCTTTCAATTCTTTTCAACTTCTAATGTTATAAAAATACATCATTTACCTCTTTCACATTTCAACTTGAAATGTTCTCATTTAACTCTATGATGTCCTTGATCTGCACATGTTGAATCTATTAAAAAAAGTTGTATTTCCTTTTTCCTGTTATTTTTGCATTGTTTTATGTGTGTGAGCAGGTCTACAATATTTTATTTGTGCCTTTCTTTTTTATGGATTTATTATTTTTGAAGTATTTAATAATTGTCTAAGCTGCTGATATACAAATTACAAATGAGCATACATAAAGGTAATGCTTTAAACATTTTGAACCTGATAGTTTTTGTCCTGTATCGATATTGTGGTGCCAGCTAGATTGAATTATATATTGAAGCAAAGAAGGGATGCGATGAGCATGCATCTGGAGCTTTTATGGAGGACTATTATCAATGTTATATTGAGATCAATGGAGATGAATGCTTGGTTGAAACATCACAATATTTTTGATGTCCTATAAATTAAGATGGTTACTTGATGCGATAATAAAGTAAAGATAGCTAAATGAGAAGGGATGATTGAGATATATGAGAAGCTGGACTGAGATGACGAGGAAGAAATGCATTAGCGAGGTGTGATTCTATTGTCTATAGGGGTGTAAACGAGTCGAGTTGAGCTCGAGTTACCCTTGACATGAGCTTGATTAATTAATCAAGCTTGAGTTTAATTCTATGAGTTTGAGTTAGCTTACGAGTTGGTTTGTTTATCATAGAAGAGAGAAAACATTTTTAAGTCAAGCTAGTATTATAATAAAATGATAAATGGAGTGAACAATTAGGAGATAAATGATAAAAAAATCACTAGATATAAAATGTAAAATATAAATTTTTAAGTATTTTTAGTAATTTATTGATAAAATCTTTAATTCTTATGTATTTTGACTGTATTTTATATTAATATTTTTTAAGAGAATTGACTCACGAACTAACAAATCAAGTTAGGACTAGCACGAGCTTGGCTTATTAGCTCATTGAGCTCAACTCGCAAGCCACTTATCAATCCAAGGCCAAGCTAACTCACAAATGGACTTTGATCAATTAGACAGTTAATTGGCTCTAGTTTATGATTCACAGGTGGAGTTAAGTACTTAAAATCTATATGATGAAGAATTTTTTTCAATCATTTTTTATAACTTAGCATAATTTGATAAGCCTAAGGAACTCATTGTGGATTAGAAGCCTTATACAATTCAACACAGATTTTCATGTAAAATTTAGGGTTCTTCAATAAAACAAATAATACCATACATAAATGATAAATACCTACAATTCAAAAGGTAGACGATCTCTCCTAAATGCTACAATTTGAGAGGTATGAAATCTCTCCAAAATCCTAACCCTAAGACTCATGACAAAGTGTCATGCATAATTCTAACCCTAAACATATTATCCATATTTATACTAAACAATAAAAATGAAAAATGACTAAATTACCTTTAAGCTAAGAAAATTTAAATTGCCCTTAGGCACCGTCATATTATTACTCTCTTTCCGATAGACATCTCCTCAAGGTAGAAAAAACTACTCCTAGTTCAGGTCGTATGACTCCCACTTGGTGTTATCATCTGACAATCCTTCCTATTTAATTAGAAACTCGTAGTGACCCTCTCTGTTTCGAAATGCTGTCTTGTGCACATCTATTGATCGCATTCGAGATGTTACCCTGACTTCAAGTCAATCCTGGAGAATATCACCACCCCAAACAACTCATCCAATAGTTTATCGATCCCCGTAATCTCTGTCAACTCCGCATCATATATCTCTTCCATGATATGCAATTTGATCAAGAATCTCAGGCCTGCATCCTGAATCACCCTCATCATAGTCTTTGGGGTTACCAATGTCTTGCACAAATTTAGGCCACCTCGAAAACACCTCCGTCTTGTCTCCCTCTTGAATACTTTGCAGTGCCCAAATCATTACAAACTCTCCCTACTCTTCTCCACTTGCCTTGTTGTCATCATTAGTTTGAATCGCCTTCCACACGGAATGCTACAGCCCTAAAAGGCATTTGGACGCAGCACTTCGTTGGGGTCCCACCCATTCTGTTAGGCCAAAATTCTTCAAAGCTGTCTTCTTTAACTCTGAATTGCACGCCATCCCATTTTGTTTATTGCTGCACGTTCTAAACCTTACGATGTTGTGCAATTTCCTTCAAAAAATGCTGGTCGAATCTGCTCCTGACTCCTGCATTCGATCTTGCCTTTTTTCGTTTGTTCTAGCTGTTCGAATGTTGCCATATTTCTTCAAAGTGTTGTCGCTTGAGTCTACTTCTGATTCCTTCGCTCGATACTTCAACTCTTAGTTTTCCTAAAGCAATGATACTGATCTGATGTCACACAAATTCTTTTGGCTGCTGTTGTGTGCATCTATTTCTGATGTTGTAGCTTGATCCCGCAATGTACGACAAAGGTGATTTTGTTTGAAACTTCACGTTCTTGTTCATAATTTCTTCTAGGGCCGTGAATATCCTCTCCATGGACGAGAAACAACCCGCCATTTATGATCTGATTTGGCTCACCTGTTTTTTTAATTTCTTATCAAGGGCATTTACTTTCTTGATTGTCATTACTCCAAAAATGATTTACAATCACGAGGACTTCCACTGAATTTGCAAGGAATTCTTGTGCCGCGATCCCGATCGCAAGGTTCGATCAGCGTGGAACTCTGCACGTGGGCTCAGTGCGAATCTCTGGATGTCGTGCAAAACTCTAGAAAGCTGCGATATGGAATTCTTGTACGTGGGTTCAATGCAGATCTTTGTACGTCGCGCGAAACTCCAGAAAACCGTGATATGGATATCCTATATGCAGGTTAGTGTAGGACTCTGGACGCCACGATCTTGTATTTTCTTCCCTACTAGCTCATGCCACACTGTATGGCAATCTTAGGTTAGTGTTTATATTGCGATCTTAGGCCACGTAGGAGATCTGTGGTTCTCTTACTTGCTAGCTCTAATCACGATTATTCCATGTGGCTAGATCATGGAAGGCGTCGCTTGTACACTACGACCCTGTTGGCTACTTTGAAACACGACTGTTTCGGCCGACAAAGGGGACGTGATCCTATTGGCTTCTCACAACAAACGCGACGAAGAAGGATCGACGCTCTGATACCAATTTGCTACGATCTGACACATTTTCACACAAAATTAGGGCAAAACAAATTCTTTTCTTCAATAACACAAACAACACAACACATAAAGGATAAATACCTACAATTCAAAAGGTAGGTGATCTCTCCCAATTCTTAAAATTTAAGAGGTAGGAAATTTCTTTGAAACCCTAACCCTAAGACTCATGACATAATTTGATGTATAACCCTATCCTAAATATATTAGCCCTATTTTATTAAAAAATAATAAAGGACAAATGACTAAATTGATGCTGAGCCAATAAAGGTTTAATTGCCCTTAGGCACCAACATAACAGAGCCTCAATAACAAATTTAAATATCTTGTAAAAATTGTTTAAAATAACTTTGAAAATGATAGCTTGTTGACTTAGTCAAAATAACAAAGTAGCACAAATAATGATTATTAAAAATGATTATAGAGTTCAAGTAATATAAAGAAGCTTAGCATTGGAATCCTCAAGGGCTGCTAAGTTCTCTACTTTTTAAAGTGGAAGTGGCATAACAATTAAAGCATATGGATTGCACTTCAAGTGAACTAGAGGGTAACTTTATGTAGACTTATATCAGCGGTTTCATATAGAAGTAACTATATTGGGTCTGGGCCTCCCTTGACAAAATAAAAAATTTTGCCTATGTAAACATAAATACAAATTATTGAAGTTTTTTTTTAACAGCTAAATATATTAATTAGAGAATAATATGAGTATATAAAAGACATTTAACAAGAAACACCCGATCGAAAAAGAAAAGTACAATATACAAAAAAAAAAACACTAGAATCTCATTTAGATAGCTTAAAGCTTGGTAAAGATAGGGGAGAGACAATTTTTCTGATTTTATTCTATTCTAGTATAAATAATATTAAACTATATTAAGTAATCAGTCCACAATATATAAATGGAGATAAATCATGTTAAAATAAAAATAAAGTGCATCAACGTCATGTCTTTAATTCTAACAATATTATCAAATACGGAGTATTTTAGTTAGTACTTTTTTGATGCATTGAATAAATATATGAATTACAATTCATGCTTTTATCTCAAGAACTACAAGGAACATGCAGTATACTGATAAATCATTATTTTATAATGCAATAGAATATTGTGAGTGAATCAAAATAATCTAGTCTTGTTGTCATGCCAACAATGAGCAATGCAATAGAATGTTGTGAAATGACTATAATGAAGGAACTTAAAATTGATAATATATAAATTATGCTGAAAATTGGCATTGCAAAAATGAAGCGATGGAATATTGTGAAGTCATAAAGAAGAAAATTCTAAATGCTTTCAAATTGATGATATATAGATTATGCGCACAGTGGATTTGTTGAGGAAAACATAAAATTCATACTTATAAGTCTTAAGGTTCCAAAAAAATTTTCTACGGCAACTAACTAACCGAATGATTTTAATTAATGTAAGTCAGGCATATCATATTGGTTAATAGCCTATTTAAGGAAAGTTAATTGAATAGTGCAGATAGTACACATCATGTATATTATCTAGCTCATTAAGATGAATATTGGTATAAAGTTAAGTCCTTCATGAATGTCTATGCAACACAACCTAATTTATAGAAGTTCTTCATAGGACTTGGAAAATCAAGAAATTGAGTGTGCTCATGCTGGCTAATAGGTTTAGTAAGTATGAGATGCTTGGACGTAAATTCATACCTAATTTTAGAATTGTGTTTGGATTCAAGCTTGACGACAACTTCATGTTCTATTCAACAAGTTCAAACTTATTCAAGCTCTAGTTTATGTTAATGCATAGAATCTGGAGTATACTCATATTCATGGTCACATGTGGGTCTTTCTCTATAAGAATGTGCCAATCCGCGTACTTGATTTGGAAGGAATTTATTTCCTTCTCTCAGAATATATTTTCCTAACCGTGTTTCCATTTATTTATATTTCCTATTTTTCTGTACTTCCCTATTTGGAGGGATTCCTATTTTTTTTTCATTCATTATGATATACTTGTAGTAAAGTATAATTCTAGAAGATGAGCAAGAAATAAGATTCTCGCCAGATTTTTACATGGTATCAGAGTCACAAACTTAATCTGTTTGAGTTCGCTGCCGTAGCTCTATTTCTCAACTGTTGCTCCGTCTCCACCATCCTTTGAAATCTTCGAGGTTGAAGAGTGTCGAGGCGTTCTCTGAGTCTCCAGCATTGACTTCATCGAGCAAAGCTCCGAACCAAGCATCCTTGTCACCGACAACAATGACGGATCCATAGGATTTTCAGCAATACTCATGATTATTTGAGAAGTTAAAAATATGTTGATGGTAAATGGACTTAAAAATTACAGCTAGTGAACCTTTTTAATATAGTATTTGAACTTGTAATAAGCTTTTCTTTCTTAACAAAATATTAAAATTTTGTTTAGCTTTATTGCCTTCTGTTGTGTTTTGCTGTGCTGTATAGTGATTTGCTGTGCTGTGCTATGCTACTTTGTGCTCTAAAGGTGATGACAGTGTTGGTAAAATTATTTTAAAATTGCTATCCCAACTAGTTCACGCATTGTAACTGCTTGATAAAAAACTCTTGTGTACTAATATTACGTTTATTAAATGTATTAACTTGATATCATTGTTAATTTTACACTATTTTAAAAAAATATCCTTTTCTTCATTAATATTTTAAGTTTTAAATAATTAGGTATTTTTTTAATTAATAAGAAATTTGATTTCAGCTTTCCAATAAATGATTTTTTTTTCTTATAGTTATTTTCCTAGACACCCTACAATTGATTGTCATTGAAAGATGATAAAGTTGGTGGCAGAAAGTTATGTCAGTAGAGCTTTAATCTAAACTTTCAAGTGGACGGGATATACCTTTATCATTGAATTTCAAAACTTTGATTCGAAATCAATATTTTTTTGGCCGAATATCCCACTTCATTGTGCCGGAAAGGGATGGTTTTTTTTTTCTCGATAAAGAAGACTGGCCTATTTGAAATTACTATTCAGAAAGGTTGGGTGTTCTGTTTTTCTGGGCCTTAGTTACCATTCATTGAATGAAAGAGGGGTACGCCTTGTGTAAGGTGCACAATGGGAAGTGCAGCTTGACGTATGGGATTCATGAGAAAGGAGATAGAGTCTCAACTAGGGCCCAGAGGAAATTGAGGATGTTTTAGTTTGGAATGCGTTTTTGAAGATAATGTGGTTTGGGTTCGTTGAATGTTGTTGAAGAGACCTGCCTGTAAATGGGATGATTATTTTTCTGTGGTCAGGGTGAACTTCTAAATAATTCAACTGTTGACATTGACGACAGAGATTGAAAATCAATTTTCAACGATGTAGGAACTGTTTCTTTGATGCAGGACAGCATTGGGAAGACTTATGAGGTGTAGGTGATGGTTTGTTGTAGGGATAATATGAATGTTTAGATAATATATATTATGGAAAAAAATTAAATTAATGAGATGTCAAATTTAAAGAAAGAGAAAACAGAGGAAAAACTGGCGAGGCACAATTTTATGAATACTTGTTCATGCTTTACATTAGGAGTCAAAGGACTGAACTTGTATTAAAGAACTTTTATTTATCATTCATCCTGGCATAGTATAAAATGAAAATCCAAAGTGAAACTAATTTATAATCAGATCACTAAATAAAAAAAACTCTGATAAAAATGTTTAAAATAACCAAAAATGAAAAAATAAATATGCAATCCCAACGACATAAAGTAGGGGGCAGTAAGATCAGTTGAAGGGCACTGAGGATAATGTAAGCATTCATATGAATGTAGGGGACCAACAAAGATTGGCTAGGTATGAGTTTCAGACAGTATTGAGATTATTTTGTGTGAACATGTGATTGGAGAGAAATATAGATAGTCATTGTCCAAAGTTCATTACTGATGTGAAAGAAAAATGCATTTGTTTCTTTTCTTTTTTAAACCTATTTGTATTTCAAAGGCACTCGTTTATCTTACAAAAATCTATATGTGAGAACAGCGTGGTTATATGTTTAATTTTGCTTCTACAGTATAAATGTTATGATATTTTGAGGTGTTTGAAATTGTTCGTAAGTAAAAGCATTCATATCTCTGTAGGGGCTCGAACTGCATGGGAAATGCTTTCGGATGAACAAAACCTCAAGCATATAAGCACAGGTTGTGAAGATTTTGATGGCATCCTTGGTGGTGGTATACATTGTGGAGAGGTTACTGAAGTAGGTAATTAATTTCATTTCTGAATAGCAAAACTACAAGAATGTTGGGGCAAACATAACTAAACAATGGCCTACTGCAATAAGAATGTTTGGCAGATGAAGTGGTTATTTAACTTCTAGAAATATATAATATACAAACATGATCTTCTACTATTCATACTTTTTAATTTTTTAAAGTAAGCACTTGGTGGATTTATATTAATTGTAGATAATCCTTTTTTCATGCAAAGTTTATTAGATGCTCTGTATTTGTTTTAATATTGGAATGTATGTTTTATTATTAAATGATTAAATGACATACATAGTCTTGATTATGTGTTTTTATATTCATTTTTTTCAGGTGGTGTTCCCGGTATTGGCAAAACACAATTAGGGTATGCCATTACTTTGTATTTTTTTTTCTGTGGACTCTCATCTGCAATTTAGCTAATAAAGTAACGTGCAGGATTCAGCTTGCAGTAAATGTCCAGATTCCAGTTTCTTATGGTGGCCTTGGAGCTAAAGCAATCTATATTGGTATATATTTCCTTATTCAGATTATTTAAGATTTTCATTTTTCAAACTTGTGGTAATCTCATAGCTAAAAATTTTCTAGATACTGAAGGAAGTTTTATGCCTGAACGTGCTTATCAAATTGCTGAAGCCTGCATAATGGATATTTGGGAAAATTTAGTTTTCCCTCATAAGGACAATAAAGATTGCCAGGAAAGGATGCAGCCTGACCATTTCTTATCTAACATCCTTTACTTCCGCATCTGTAGTTATACTGAACAGATAGCTGTGATTAACTACCTAGACAAGTTTCTTGAAGAACACAAGGATGTGAGCTTTCCATCAAATATTTTGTTTGATTGATTTCGTTTTATAAACATTTACATGCACTTGCTTTGCACAGATCCATAGTAAAGTGATTCATTTGTTAATATTATTGTTATTACTTTAGTCTTTGCATGCTAAAAATTTTGACATTTAGGGCAATCTATTGCATCATGTTTTACTGAAGAAGTCACTTTGCAGATTTTATGCTAATTCATTATGCAAATAGTGTCTTTGCAGAGTTATTAAATCCACGTCTTAAAATTTCTAATGAATTGCACTTTCTTCTGGACCACCAATCTTTGGGCCTTGTTACACTTTTCATGCATAGCTTGCACCCGGTTTTTTTAGTGCGTGTGGTTCAAGTTTAAAATTTTTTGAAGCAATTAGACTTTTTTTGATAAGATACACTGAAATATTTCACCCTAATTTTTCAAGACTTCATGTTATGGTTTCAGATTTCTCATAGGCGCAATGCTTATTTTTAATTATCTGTATCAATGACAAGAGAGCGTTTTTTTTATTAAAGCTAGTCATTAGGCACTTAGTGTATAGTATTAGATTAAGGATTTTCCCGCATTTCTCTTGGAACGAATGGTGGTTAAATGATGTTTAACCAATCAAGATCATATGATTCTGTCATCGTGGGTTATCATTAGCTTGATCTATTTAGTCAGAGGAGATATTTTACCCAACGTAATCTAATGATTCTTCTTAGCAACTTTGAGTTACATCGTTCAAGGGGACCTTTTTGGCTTATTGTGGATGCTTGTTTAAGGGGAGGGGAGAACTTTTAAGCTGATATCAGCTTATAAAAAGCTTATTGTTCTATCAAGTGCACTTTATAATTCACTACGCAGCGGTTTTAAACCATTTAGTAACTCATTAAGTCCTAGTTGTGACGCCAGGCAATCACATGCGGAAACTGGATCTGTAGGATAGCGGGATTTTCACAATTTTTTTCAGCGATTCGAAGCTCCCGTGAGCATGGGTTTGAACTGTGAGCGCCTATTTTTGTTTTCAGCTGTCTCTGTTTCCTTTTTTATTTCTTCTCTATTTCCCTATTTCTATTTTCATCTTTTGTGAGGGAACTATTTATATGTTGTTATTTTCTGGTTTTGGAGATTTTTGATTTGGTTTATGTTATTTGGAGATGTTTTCTCCTGATTTTTTCTATTGGAGTGCTGTATTTTTAGATTTCTTTCATGTGGTGTGTGTGTAGCCTAATAGGATCGAAGTGGTGATCTATCACGAACATTTGGAGGTCTCCTTCGCTGTCCAATTCACAGCTAACTGCTGTTCGCAGCTGGAAAACTGCTTTTATCAGTTCCAGTTTGCTTTCCTGTTGTTATCCACTCCACAATTTTGATCGACATCTCTTCTCGACATCTGTGCCACACTGTTTTGTGGCATTTCTTGTTATTTTTAGTCGGGCCAGCCAACAAACATTATCCATTCTCCAAAATATTGTTGATTGCCCGTAATTTCATTCCTTTACTATTCCTTTACCTCCTCGTCAGACCCATTTCCCAAACACCTCTAGAAGCTCTAGATTGGTGTCATTTGGTATTATAGTCCGCAAACCCTAAATTTGTAGGGATTTCTCTTTCTTGCCATATATCGAAAGTTACAAAAAAAAAAAAATCTTAAAATACCTAAAGTATTCCTATCACAATTCCTAGCCCCAAAACCTAAAACTTCCAAAGTCCAATCTTCCTACCTCTACCACTAATTTAACCCAACACCTACCACAAAAACTTTAAATCTCGACCAACCTTTTATTTGTAACCCTAGACCCGTCGAAACTGTGATCAAGAGAATAGGCGTCTGGAACTTACTATGGAGGATTAATTTCAACTCGTTTATTACCCACTGCATCTTTATTATGCAAGTCAGGAAAAGTGTTGGCGAGAATTTAGTTTGATTTAGACGTCCACCTTTATCACATCACGGTTGATGCTAAAAGGGAGGGTGGCCAGCTAGGGTGTGACATGATGACAATTAGTCTTTTTGTTTTTGTCAATTTCATGTAGAGGCAAATCCTTTATAGCTCATATTCTTTTAGATCTTGAAAAGAACAATGACAAAATTCAACTTCAGTGCCATTAACCTCGTCCAACATTATTGATACAAGAATTTAACAAGCACCCAAGGTATATACATATTTTTATTGGATTTAAAGTCTGAAATTACAACATACATTAGCGAAATATGAAATTGCTACAAAACAAAAATAACACATTGGAATTATGGTTGGATCAAGGTGTAATTGGTCACTGCTAGGGTTTCTACCTCTGGGGTGGTGGCAAGGAGGCAACTAGCAAATTGAAAACATTAGGATAATAGTTTACAGGAATCCGAACAACCAACAAGCAGTAGGAACAGTCATGGAGGGCTTTTCTAGGTGAAGACAACAAGGAGGAAGAGGCAACTAGCAAATTGAAAACATTAGGATAACAGTTTACAGGAATCCGGACAACCAACAAGCAGTAGGAACAGTCGTGGAGGGCTTTTCTAGGTGAAGACAACAAGGAGGAAGGGGAGGGAATGTGGGAGCAATTTGGGAAATGACGGGGAAAAGGTATAAGAAGAATAAACCCCTCATGTTGACCAAGATATAACTGGAGCACACCTGGAACCCTAGAATACATCCTGTAGAGAAATTAGGAGATGCCAACGACTGTCCCAAAGCAATACATAACAAAAATTAAACCCTATATATTTAGATATATATATATATATATATATATATAAATAGACCCACTACTCCAATTGGGTGGCAACCCTAAGCCTAGAGAGGGCCGACCGACCCTCCCTCAACTTGGATTGAATCAATCCAAGAGCCCTGCTCAGCTCTCATGTCAGTCTAGCGTTGTTGGTGGAGCTTCAGCCTCATCTGTCGAAGTTTCAAACTCATGATATGACGTCGGATTGACCACATTGAAGATGAAGCTGTTATAACCTCTTGGGATTGGAAGTCTTCAACTGCGTTTGTTAAAGCACTTGATCCCACTATCGGATGTACTATCAGACAAAGCACATTAGAAGTTTTCTTGAATTGCGAGTAACGATCTCTATCTATCTAATCATCTGTAGATACATCGCTGAATTGAACTAAAATTTCATACCAAGCATATTTTGTAGAGTCCTCTAAAATTAGCTTAGGGTTTTCTTATTTCTTTCTGAAGTGAAGACATACTGAATCTTGTCTAACAGTGGTAGCTCTAAAGGTGCTATCAGTCAAGACATCTTGAAATTCTTTTCGTAGTGGCTACCTTGTGTTTGATATTGGCTCTTCTGTGTCACTACCCTCTCTAACATTACTAAAACTGATGGCTCTTCCAATGCAATTTATAGCAAAAACTGAATCCTAAAACTACTGCTATTAGGAGTGGGCCCCACTCCAATTGGGCGGTAAACCTAGACTTCGACCCTCCCTCAACCTGGCTGAACCGATCCAGGGCCCCCACCCAGCCCCCGTGTCAATTATCTTGATGAAACATATACAAAATAGCTTAACAGATTCTAAATTAGACACATTATCGCTGCAATGTAACATGCCATGCAGCAGTGCTATAAGGTGCTTCAGAAGTGGGGATGATGAATTTCTAAAACCAGTAGAAACCACACGAAATCTGCATTATAAAATCTCTTTTATTGAGTCTCTTATATTAAACTATTTTTTTAATTCCTATTATGGTTCAAAAGAGACATAAATTAGCGTTTTGCAGTTCACTTTCTTAACAGCAGCGTGAATCTTTTTCTTCACATGCATTACAAGTTGGAATTTGAAGTTGATATCATTCTGTTAGGTTTATTTCAGCTAAAATGTCAGATTTCTATTTTACTATAAAGGTAGTACGATTCATTTTTTTAAAATTTGCCTTTAGTCTGTGTTACGGAAAACTTCCATTTTCTCTTATTCACAAATTGAAACATATGTTACAAATTTATATACGCTCCAATCTCTACATATTAAGAATATGTCTAATAGAAGAAAGATCCTGCAATTATATTTGTTCCAAATATGTTACATCTTTATTAGATTTCCTATAATCCAACTTCCTAATATGCGGGCTTCCTAATGTACAAGTATTATATCTATTACTTTCCTTAACACTCTCTCTCAAGCTGGAGCATAGATATTTATCATACCTTGCTTGTTATATATGTAAGTTACCTTAGCTCCATTAAGGCTTTTTGTGAAGATGCCCACTAGTTGTTCTCCAACCTTTACATGGGCTTTAGAAATAAAATCTTATTGAATATTTTCACGAGATAGTCTATCTCAATGTGCTTAGTTTGTTCATAGAAGACAAAGTTTGTGGCAATATGGATTGCAGCTTCGTTATCACACTACAACTTTATTGGAACTGTCATCTTAAACCCATTTCAGCCAACAATTGTGAGAAACATCAATTCACTTGATGCGTGTGCCATTTCCTGATACTTAGATTTTGCAATGGATTGTGACACTATATTATGTTTCTTACTCTTCCATGATATCAATTATCACCAACAAAACACAATATCCTATAGTGGATGTTCGATTAATCTCTTAGAGCTTGCTCAATCTGCATCGGAGAAACATTCAATTTTTGTGTGCCCATAATTCTGATATAGAATACCTTGTCCAGAAGCTCCTTTGAGGTAACATAGTATTTGCTCCAAAGCCTACCATTGATGGATTTTGGGGGAAGGCATGAACTGGTTTATAGTGTTAACAGAATAAAAAAGGTTAGGGCTAGTTATTGTGAGGTAGTTTAGTCCTCCCACAATTTTTATATTGTTCATGATTGTTAAAAAGCTCTTTATTATGGATAAGTTGTTGATCGGGAAGTATCAGAGTACTACATGGTTTGACCTCTAATTTTTTAGTTTTTGGTAACATATTCAAAACATACTTCTGTTGAGATAGAAATATATTCTTCTTGTTTCTTAATACCTCAATTCCAAAGAAGTATTTCAAGGAACCCAGATCTTTAGTATTGAACTGATTTTTAAGA